ACCTTCATCGAAGAATTTATAAGTTCGTGAACATAAAGTTTGGTGGCATTCATAGCACTAAAGCTCATGAACACCCTCTCTCATTTGTTCAAGGAATTGAGAGTGATGGTCTTTGTGATCGATGTAAATGGTTATTAAAGTACAAAATGATCTTGAAGTGTTTAAAATGTAAGTTTGCAATTCATTATAAATGTTTGTAGGAGTTCCAATTAAGAGTTTGTCAGTCTCTTGGAATTGTATTTGTAAGTATTTTATACTCTTCGTCTTTTTTTTTTACATGTGCAAAAGAACATAATAAAAAAAAGAATTTAATGGTGTAATCATTTTATTTATTCATCCCTACTAATTGATTGATTGTTATATTTAAGTTCTATTCCGATATGGATACAAAGTAAATGTGAAAATTGACTTTTTCATAAACGATGTAATATATTGATTTGTTTAAAAACAGATAACTACATCTAATAATATTTATTCGTTAATTAAATACTACTTGATATATCTTGAAAAACTAAGCAACGACCATCTCAATTAAACACACGGCCCCCAAACTTACTACGAAAAATGGTTTTAGGACATGTTTGCGATGAGTTTACGAAATGGTTACGATGATCTACATTCCCATATTTATCGGCTTATAGATGTTGAAAAGAATATCATTTGGATCCGAGTTACAGCGTCATGACGCTTACCGCAAAAAATGGTTACAAAATTCATAAAGATTTTGAAGATGCAGTTATTCCTAATTTTTCAAACACATAGGCATCTTAAAACATTTAATTTTCAAAGAAAGTGGATATCAAACTTATGGAATAGACCCAACACCCACTAATCTTAGTCGAAGCCAACCTCCCCAAGAATGAAACTGTTATCCTCTCATAACCCAATAAAAAAGACTGAATTGTTATGTAATGGATGTGTGAGACCAATCGCCAACATACCCTTCTACAAGTGTGCCAATGAGGATGAAACCATGCAACTTTGCTCGGTGCAAAACCACCCTCAACGTACCCTTCTTCTCCTACCGCTCGTCTCTCGTAAGCTTTTGGGCRTGTTCAAGTTTGCTGTATGCAACTTACAATGCAATGGATTTGTCTATACTTGTGTTGAATTTGACTACCRCACCGATGTTAGTTGCGCATTCATACCTGAAAAAATAAGACACAAAGCTCATCCAAATCATCTCATTTGGAGAATTCAGTCAAAAACCAATAAAAGATATTGTCGTTCATGTTTACAGCGTGTTTGGCAAAATGAATTTTCATTTAGTTGTCGTACTTGTGATTTTGATCTACATTTCGAGYGTGCTTTGTTCTTACCCCAAACAATTAGGCACAAGTATGACAAGCACCCCTTGAAACAGATCATAGAAGCAGATTCATAATTTATGTTAAAAGATCATAGAAGCAGATTCATAATTTATGTTACCTCATGGGGTTGCAACAGAGAGGTGGTTTGGGTGGATGATGAAGCTGCTTCCTTGTCATCAACATGACTGCCATCTTCTTTAGCTTTTCCCCATAAAACARCATAGAACCCTAATGATATTATTATCCCCCCAACAACACTGCATGCACCAAATTTTCAGTTCGTATGGTTTCATATTATTAATCCTTCTTCAATTTCAAGTCAAACGTATAAAAAAACTATAAGCACTACAAAAAAAATCAGGTTTATAGGACGCATAAAATGTCCAAATGTCCTAATACACTATATTAAAGGACTTGAGTTTATAGAAGCATATCCTATTTAAAGTTGTAACAAGTTTATATGACACTCAAAAAGCTTTTCTGGACACGTTTTGCAACAAAGTGTCCTATAACAAGTGTCCTATTAGCTTTTTTATAGGACACTATTTGAAAAGTGTCTTATAAATCCAGCGTCCTATAAAAAATGTGTTTACAGGAGACTTCAAAGAGATGTTCTATAAAAATGTCCTAAAAAACTTGTTAAAACACTCAAAAGCGTCTTATAAACTTATTATAACACCTTTAGATAGGATACACAAAGGTTTGGTCCTATAAAATTAAATCCTATGAACTGGTCTATTAGGATACTGAAAACACTTTTGGCTTCCTATAAACTCAACTTTGTTGGAGTGAAGGGTGCGTTTGATACACGGGAGATGACAAAGCAACAGCTTGTTCTCCCATGTTTGGTGCAAAATTAGGGCAGAACAATACAAGATTTTTGTCCCACAAAAATCAGGTACACAGGGCAAGAACGGACTGAACGGAAAATTATTAAACTACATGTGTCAAATTAAAACTCTGAAACCTTCCACAACACTTTCACCCGCCTATCTCGCTCTCGTACGTTCAGTCTTGTCCAATACCATTGTGTACCGAACGCACCCTAAAGTGACAAAGTTTCCAAGTTGTCTACGCTAGAGAGAGAGACAGAGAGGAAGAACCTTCCAAGATGGAGAGAATCTCCGAGGAAGATGGCACCCATCCCAACCGCAATTACAATTGATAATGGCTTGAACATGGCTACATAAACCGGGCCTTTTAACCGCAGAGCCCATACTTGAATGAGACCATTCAGAAATCCTGTAGATATGCCCTATACACGAAAAAAAAACACTCTCAGAAAAGAAAATTTTATAGCTAAGAAGGCTACCCATATTCATGCAAAAAGTTTCTTACCATGTAAATAATAGAAGCCAACATCATATCAGGTTTTAGATTCCAAGCATCTAAATCTCTCACCATAATTAACCCTGCAAACGCAGCTACAATCAACCCACTTAATCCAAATACAAAAACGACCATTAGTTCCACCGGATATTCCATCATGATGTGTGCCTGCAAGGTCACTGAAAACACTCAAAAAGTTCCCTAAATATGCTAGCATTCTGAAAATTTGAACTAAGGATGGGTAATTTTGGTACCTGGGAAACCAAAACAAATGAAAGTAAGAAGTTCTGACTTGCAAGTAAAATCCCACCAATAATCCAATATAAGCTCGAGGAATCTGATGATACGGTAACTGATGTACCATTATATAGTGTTGCTACAAGTGCTCCCGATATTGACACTATTGTTCCCACAATTTTTGCTTGACTGGTATAGCTTCGCAAATTCAATTTCTCCATCCTGATAGACCAAAARGATACATGATTCTAGATCACAAGTAAAAGGAGACTTGAAGCCAATATTTTCTCTTCTTTCAAGTCAGATGATCATCATTTTGAACATATAAATCTATGTGTTTCTCTTGAACAAAGGCTACAATATATGAGTACCTGAAAAAGAATGCAAGTATGAAGGTGAAAGCAGGTGCCAGATTGCTCATAACTGAAGAAAGTGTTGGAGAACTGTACTTGATACCAATGTATCCAAATATCTGAGACAAGTACCTGGTATTTACAGCATTTGAATCAATGACATTGTTGATTGATTGTAACTAATAGCAATAAAAACACAAAAAACGATCAGGATTCATTGAAATTGAGGAGAGGTGTGATTTTAATGCTTAAAATAGATTAGGGTTCCATCTACCCTTAGGCATTAGTAGAAATTCCTCCGTCCTAATCAGATTGAAAAAGTCAAGATAGCAAATTCAATAATTTCTACATATGTTAAGACCGAATTCAAGATGAATTACCCTATCAAGCTAAGAAGGAAAAGCTTGATAACGATGGAGAATTTCAGCCCCTGGTTGTTTGAACTTCTGCAAAAGAAATTGAAACACGAAGTTGAATTGGAAATAGGGGGATCTTGCATAATACCAAGTGATGAAACGATTAAAAATGAAAATTGCCTGCGGATGAAGAATGGACAAGGTAAGAGGAAAAGGAAGCCGACGAGGAAGACGTAAGTGGTGAAGACGTATGAGTTGATTCCTTGAGCGGTGGCTGATTTGAATAATGTATTTCCGCCTACAATAATGCACTCGACCATCACCATTGCTGTGAATGGCAATACATCACTATAGCAAGTTCTACTGGTAGAACCCATCTTCTCCTCGATCTCTGCAACTGAAAATGGCAGATTTTGACAACCGGGTATCAGAGAAATCCTTCACCTACCACCTTTCTTACCAATCTGATGAGTAGAAGCATCGAAGCAGTCCCAATCTAGCGCAGGTTTATGCTACTACGAAATACTTTGATGTGCAGATGGAGGTCTATCCAATTATTTTCAATTTTAGTCGTTGATGGTAACTGGTGGTTTGACTTTCTTTCTATTGAACAAAAACGGTTGCCCCATTTTCCGTTGTGGTTTAATCGGCTGTACAAGTCAAATCGCTTATTTGCATAGCCATATCTAATTATTCGGTATGGGTTTATCCGGTCCGTCCATATCTGAATCTCTCGGCTATAAAATTTATGTCCTTTGTATTCGGTCATTAAATTCCCCCAACTACTCTTCTCCCTCAACGCTCCATCACCGCTACCTCCCTCAACACTCCATTGAGTTTGCCTCTCACCATTCATCAGAGGTTTTTGATTTATTTGTGTTTCCAACATCAGATTTCGATAGAGGAGGTTTAGAGTTCGACGGAGGAGGTTCCAACATATGAGGTTTTTGATTTCCCCTTAATTTCCTTGTGTTTCTGGTAATGAAAGGCAGAGGAGGTTTTTGTTTTCGTCTTCACGAATTTGCTTTTCGACGAAGAAAAACCACTGTACATCAACTCACCTACCTTCAACTCGAGCTTCTGTTGAGATATGTAGCCGTTGATTTTATCCCGACCACCGGTTTTTCACACACTTTATTCTCCATCAACTTTTGAACCAAACAACCTCGTCGCTCATCAAAATCATCTAAAAAACAACTAGGTCCTCCAAAATTCGTTTTTTTACAAACAGTCAATTGTTCATCATCTCGTTCATCAATTGTGGTTTTCGATTGTTCTTCTAGRTTGTCGATTTRTGTGGAGTTTCAGCGAGCARGAGGAAGTTGCTTGGTGGTGGAATTAAGGAGTTCCTCCCGACAGTTCAAAAAAACTGGCGATGTTTACTTGAATGGAAAGAGGAACTATATGTMGATKATGGTGTTTGGTGTGGTGTAAGATGTGTGGATCTGTTGTATGAAGTATATAAAGGCATAATAAAAGTAAAATATAGAGGGGGTAAAATGGTCATTTATGACATTTGGACTGTTTATTCAGCCCAACAACTGAACAACAACTTATCAATTAACATACATACAACTATATCCATACAAGTTTTAACAAAAAACGAACCGAATAACCCTTTACTACTGTTGCTTAATCTGAAAATACATTAAACTACACAATTGATGTCAATGCTCGTATGTTGTAAAAATAATAATCTTATTTGTTCAAATACATAATATCAACTCAATTAACTAATATCTTTTACAACATATGCACACCGACTTGATCCCCGAACGACTACGAACGGTTTGGAGTCATCGCAGTTAAACCATCATGCTTACAAAGATTTGGCAGCATCTGAATTTGAACCCTATGTAGAAAATATTTTGCAGCGCATTCCCTTAAGACTTAACTAATGCGCGTACAATCCAAGTGATTTCAATTAATCTTCTTCTTGGAACAACAAAACACACTGAGATTTGATGGACATAGTCGTCATTTTCATGTTATGTGCTTTTATTTTGATCAAATTTGATGGACATAGTCGTCATTTTCATGTTATGTGCTTTTATTTTGATCAAATTTGACCGACATCAAAAAACCGTACTGTAACATTCAATATTGCTCTATTTGTGATTGTTAAATGTCAGTTCAACACCTACTCTCTCTATGTGATATTGCTGTCATTAAATAAATGTTAATTAAGATTTGATGGATATAAACGAACCGAAAAAACATAAATGAGTTTTACTCCGTCATTCAACAGAAAACAAGAGTAACAAACTGAAGTAAACTAGACAAGATAACAATATTGGACTGAATTAAACAACATTGGACAAGATAAGGGTGCAATACTAGATTAGATAGACGGGTCGTGTTTATCTATACTATATTATAAAACATTTGWCTAAAACTCTTAAAAACCATTTTTTTTGCATAAAGTACTGTTTATTGATGCATATTACTTAAAATTCAAGATTACAAATAAATTGTTCATAAGTACAACTTATTAAAGTTCTATGTTTGAATTCGTGTAACTAACTGCTAATAAAAATAATCAAATAGAGGATAAACATCTTATTTTAAAATATAAAAAATCTAAATTATAATTAGGATAATTATTGAGTTCTAACAGAATACTTAATTATTATCTTTATAATAAAATTTATTATTAAACCTAAATTAAGTTACTTCGTTACATTAAATTAAATTATAATAAAAATTTAGAATTAAAATAAATACACAAACAAAAACTTTTAAATAATTAATTTGATACTAATATTGATATAGTTTTTGCAAATTTTATATGATATTTTCAAATTTATATTTTATTCCAAAATAGAAACATTGTTGTTTTTCAAAACCGCATAAAATCGTATTATATTGACATGGATAAAAAATAAAATGAAATATTGAAATAAAAATGTGTCTCGATACATTGCACAAGTACCATTCTAGTTCATCAAGATGCTAATCAGATCGAAACAAAATTAAAAAAAACTAAATAAATAAAACGTGACCTTAATATTGGGCTGAGCTCTTCTTTTATGGGCCTCATTTGAACTTTTATGGGCCTTTATCTTTCGTCACTACGATATAAACTGACACTGACCTATGCCTTCATTTGCTGTATTTCTAGCCCACTTCGCTTCGGAAGCGCAACGTCATAATTCACGTTCGATGTTTAAACCCTGGATACTAGGGTTTATGATTTTTGGTTAGGGTTTTGGTGTTTTAGCTACAAGAACATCAATGGAGGGATTGAAGGTATCGGATGCGGAATTGGTGGTGTATTTACACCCATCGAAGTCAAACAACGCCTCTCAAGCCATTTTTGGTGAACTCGGTTCAATGCTTTTCAAGTAATTCTTCGTCTTTTTCTTTCTCTTTATTTCAAATACGTCATCGACCTTGAATCCTTTGTCTTTAATGTAATTGTCCACCATTCGGGGAAGAATGACATTGATGCACGAATATAGCAAAAGAAGATGAGCTGATGGGTATATATAAACATTAATTGAAACTTAACAGTTCTATTTGTTTAAACGATCCATATTCCATTTGATAAGCTGAATTAATTACTGATCAATGATACATAAAGCTATTTTGACAAAGTAATGTAGATTCCACTGCAAGAGAAGCTGAAAAGAGTATCATGTAGAGGGATATTCCACTGTAAAAACACCCAAATTTGCTGCCGGCAGGCAAAAAGAATGGCATTTTGCTTGAATGGGAGAGGAACGGCATATATGCAGGTTCCTATCAAACGGCATATATGCCCCATGGTTGGATATGAATTGATTTTTGGTGTATTCGCCCCACCAATTTGGGTGTTTATTTTTAGGTGTCGTGATTGGAGATGATCTAAGGTGGGCAAGTGATAAATTTGTACTTTTCCTGTATCCACGGTTGAAAACCCTAGTGTGCTTATTCCTAAATATCGAGGTAGTCGATCGTCTATCATATCTATTATTTCGATAGCGCCTGTTGTAGTGCATGAAAGGTTATGTAGTTAGGCGTTTGGGGAAGGATTATGCTAGTAGCAGTTGTTGATTAACCTCAACCGTCTAATATATTTAGCCAGACTGCCAGAGTATTAAAATATCTGGTCCTTGTCCTTGATAGAGACTCACCGAAGTTCCATGCTTGTAAATTACCGCAGAATATAAGAACTTTTCTTACATTATTTTCATTGCAAGGCTCAATTTTGAGGTGTTGTTGCCTTAACAACGGTAAACAAAAATCTAATGTGTTAAGCACCCACCTAGGCATGGYTTAAAAAACGCCAGAGGAGTGCGCCTAGGTGCACCTCAGGGCTATGCGGTCCAATTTTGTTTATGAACGTGCGCCTCAACCATCCCAAATTGAACCTACACCTTGATATGTGAGGCGGGCAGTGAGGCGGTCCACCTATACCGTCCAGATTGAATGTATGCTTGATCTTCGATTTCGTAGAAAACCTTAATTTTTTAAAATAAGGAAATGATTAAACCTAAAAAACACTAATATTATATGGAAACTGAACAATCGACCTATTTTTCTGCCTCTTCCTGTGTAACAGTTACATTGTAACCCAACTTTTCATCATCTCTTTTTATTCTGCCTTATTCAATACCAAAAGTCCAAAACTGTAAACATATTTATATACTTGACTTGAAGTCTTGAACGAATTCTGAGTTGCTTCTTCTTTCCAAACCATCACCAGTTCAATACCAACTTTACTGGTTTGCTGCAGGTTCTTTTATGTGTACATATTATGTTTTTATGTATATTGTATCTATATTCTGTTTTATTATATATAAATATTCTGTTTTTAGGTATAAATTATGCATAATCTGTTTATATATATCTATATATATATATATATATATATATATTCTGTTTTTATGTAAACATATGCTGTTTATGCTGTTTTTATGTATACATGTTCTGTTTTTATGTAATTAGGTATAATATTGTATAATCTGTTTATATATATAAATAATTATAGGTCTATGAATTTTGTTGTTTTATTTTTTGGGGCTTATGCCTCGACCGTCTCGAAGCTTACACCTCACATACCTAAGAGGAAAACGCCTCGAGGTTCGTTTCCGTTCTTTAAAACCTTGCATCTAGGGAACTCTGGCTTTATGTCTTCTTCCTTGCTTGGTTATTCCAACCAACTATAATATGACCAAACACTACTATGCCTATCTTCCTGCTTCTTCCATTTCTATTTATGACAACTAGAAACAGACGACATTGAATTATATGTCATCATTTTGTGCACCGACTAGTCCCATACTCCCACGTGAATAGGAAGTTAGATCGATGTAACGCACCATACACCAAACCAGCAGGCTGGCCCAATAACCTCCAAATCAACTTTAAAACCATAGTGAAAGCTATTAGTAACCCACAAATTGAGTTATTGATTTTTGCACCCATTATACTTGACACCTGTTCTAGAACCACCATTATACTTGCAACATCCCACAAGAGACACCGTAAATGAAAGGAAAAGAGTGGCCATTTTGCAGAAATCTTTCAGATTTTTGTTTATGCCCATACAGAAACGAGTGATGGATTTGTATAACCATTCTACTTTGTCTTTGGTTTCAAAATAACAGTAGTGCTTGATTACAATCTTTCTGGAAAAGGATTCAAATGAAATATAATTAATAAGTCTATTTGTCTTTACAAAATAATAATTGTATTAATTAAGTACACAAGCTATTTTTATTTTACTATAGATAAAGTTATACTAAATAGAGCATATCTACAACATCCATCAAATTTACAATCATACTCATCACCATTTCTTTATGTAAAATCATGCGAGTACACATTATCTTTTCTCAGAATCATACCATGCTTCATTCTTGAATAGAAATACACATCACATATTTAATTGGAGTGATAAAAAGGAACAACAAAGGGCTAATATGTTGAAAAAGGTTGAAATTACTAAAAACATTGGTTTTGGGAAATGAAAATTACAGTTAAAATTCACTGGAACCCATAGGTTACTTGTTTCCTAGAACAAATTTCATTTTCAAAATATTTTAATACCATTTATTTTTTGCAAAACCTGCCTCTCTGCCACTTGAGGCAGATCTTACCCCATAGACCCATACTTTTTAGTGGGATATATTGGGTTTGTTTAGTTTGTTTTTTGCAATTAATTGTATTTATCATTTTTATGGTAAATATTATTTTTATCACTTTTGAATTTAGCGAAGAACTCATTCGAAGCCAGGAATGGCAGAATTTGGCTGATCTGGAATATAACTATGACATTAACGAGATAGAGAGATCTGATCAGGCCTCTTGTAGCTGTTGGGTGTGTGAAGTGCAGTCTTGTATCTGTGAGTGATCAAAATGAAGATCTAATGAAATGCACATAGCTATTTAATAATAATTTATTCACTGGGATTTCATTTTAATCACTTGTATACGTATGACTTCTTCGTATCAAATGAATTCTTTATAGTAACAATTGGAAAGTATTTAATCTTACTTTGGAGTTTTTAAGAATATCATAATATAGTATATTGGTCATTCTAAAACCAAGGTTGAGTAGAGTGGTTACTAAAGGAAAATCACTTATTTTCTCTAAAGGGAAAAATGGGAATTATGAAAAAATTGTGGGCCAAAATGTTTAATTTATTCAAGTATGATGTTCTTTTATTAAAAAATTTGCACCTATAACAGTTATTTTGAAACCAAGTGCCAATTATTATGATTTAGAAAGCCAGTTATTCTTTTTCTTTTTCGATGCAACCTTCTTCATAGATGATTTGCTAGTTCTTATTGGTCTGGTGTTTAAGKGCTCTCATACACTTATTTTATAGCATGAAGCCATTTGTCCTTAAGTAGTTGGGGGAGTCTTAAAAATGAAATCCAACAGGATCTGTTTGTTACGGAACCTCTTCTTGAACCCATGAACATAAGTATCATCCTTCTGTACATCCCTATTAAGGCTAATCAATGCAACCAAGTATAACAAGGTGAAATCCATCATCTCCATCTCACTTGTGATTTTTCATGATGCTTTTTGCTTGTAGTGTTGGAATTTTGTGAAGAAAGGACAAGGCTTCTTTGACTTCCATTTGTCTTTCTTGTTCAATTTAGTGATACGAATCATATGGTGTAGCAGGTCTGTGTAATTACTAGTAGTTGGTCCGTTTGCAAAATTTGTATTTATACTATCACCAATATGACCATGTTGAACCTTAAATTTGTTATATATTAGAGTTTCAAATTGACCACATCAATTGATGTTATTGTGGTATTGGGAAAGTGATTTGATTAATGTTTGGATGATCAAATGGAGCGAGGGATTGCCACCTGTACATAATCTACAAACCTGTAGGCTATAGTCCACTTGTATAGTTGCTTCAAAATGAATAATGTAGCTGTAGCGGAAAAGTATTGTTAATGTGGCCCAAAAGTTTTAGTATGACATTACCAATTGTTTAGGGAAGATAACCTCATACCATTAGCGTTTCATTTCTCTATCTTGTTGTATTATTTATTTGGATTCGTTTTGGCAGGTTCAATGAGACATTTGATGGTGTTTTGCTGGCTTACAGTGCTTCTACCAAAAATAAGTTGGCAAAGATTCTTCCAGGCCTAAATCCTTACTTCGGTGTGAGACTACAAGCACGATTATTACTTTTCTATCCAAAACCAGACATGCTTTTAGGTACTCCACCGATAGTTCCCATGATATGTATCATTACTTGTAGTTTATCTAATGTTAGATCTGTATTTTGAAATCGTGCTTAACAAGATCTGAAGTCCTTTTTTGGGTTACTTCTTCATATGCTGAAATTTGTTCTTCTACTAACTTCTGTGACTACTACGATCTGTCTTTCTCTTTCACACACATCTCAGGAGGTGTTCAAATCTTGGACTTTAACAAGTTTGATCCATATTTATGTCCTAAATTTTGTTATGATTATGTTTTCCAGAAGGAAAGGTAGTTAAACTTGGTGAGCAGACTATACACATTATTGTTCTTGGTTTTTCTTCCGCAACCATTACAGAAGAAGACATTCGTGAAGAATTCAGTTACAAAGTTGTAAGTACATCATAGCTCTTGACCTCTTGTGCTTGACAAATTCCCTTCTTTCCTATATCCACACATTGTGTTGGTCTTCAATAACTAATGGCAACAATGTCAATGCATCTTGTTTCAGAAACATAGAAAGGAAGTTTATGCTAGCACCATCGATAAGCACCATAAGATAGAGATTGGAACCGTTATACGTTTTGTAGTCAAGAGGTAATGAATTCTTTTATTTTCTAAACGTGTTCATTTTCATGGCTCTAGTTGTATCTAGTGATATCCCTTCTTTACTTTGTCTGCTGTATATACATGTATATGCATTTGTGTATCTATGTTGTTATAGCGGTGAAAATACAAAATTGCGTTCGGGATCGATATTTAAAATAGCGGTTATAGCAGTTATAGCGGTGGGATAGCGGTCCACAAATAGCGGTTCATATAATATTTCTTAGAATTATATATATATATATATATATATACACATATAATATGCCTACATAAACATATCATTTGCAAAATAGGAAAAGTGTTCATAGACGAGCTAATCGCAAGCAATAGGTTCAGCATCTGAGTCAACATCATCTAATACGTTCACTTCTTCGTTTAGGCTAGCTTCCCACTCTTTCCCTTCTCCCCCTTCATCTCCAGCGTGATCATCATCATCATCCCTAACGTTAATATCGAACGCAATTTACTCTAAACATCGGCCAAAATTGCGCTACCGCAATTTGACCACCGATATTTTGCAAAGGACCGCTATCCGAGATATCGCCGCAATTAACAGCATAGACGAGAATTCGCTTATCTCGTCTATCTATTTGATGGGTTCACCGTTCACATGCTTAATGCTATTTCAATGTTAATTTTGGTTAAAGCCTTTCAGGCTGAAATTATTTTCTGATTATCTGTTATGCTAGAAAGCTGGTCAAAGATAAATTATATTTAGTCGCCTTGTAGTCTACCGACCAAATTACTTTCCATATAGACGTATTATTTTGCAGTTGGTTGCTCCCTTATAAGAAGTCACCTGTAGTCTAGATGAACAACCTTTGTGCATCTGGTAACTGTTGAAAGTTCCCCAAATTCACTGATTTTGGTAACTGTTGAAAGTTCCCCAAATTCACTGATTCTTATATGTGATAAGATGTAGATTAGTATAGATTCCTTGACAAGGTGTAGTTAATCCAGTTATTATAGATATCTTATTTTCTCAGCCTTTGATACTTGTTAGGATTGATTTCATCACCATCTTTACTCTATTTTCTGGGTTTCTGTTTGTAACTTTCACTGCATTCAAGTTTGCAACTTGTTTACCAAATTTTGTTGTGAAAGTTGAAAGCCTCTCTGGTGTTTAGATGGTGGCCCTTGCCAAATGTTGTCATCCTTCCTTGTAGTAATTTGGGCTGTATGTGATTTGTATACGATTGTATAGAACTGGCTGTTATGGAAATTAATGTTGCTCCAGTCCATAAATGAGCTGACATTGAAAGTTGGTTGTAGTTTTGATGAGGAAACACTCCATATATCGGGATCATTGGTTCCACCTCACACAGGAAGCGTCAGCTGGTTGGATAAACCTGCAGAAGAGGCGAGGTTTTTTATCTGAACCTGTAGCCATGACCGTTAAATGATGTTTCTGTATATATTCAAACACGATAACATTTCTTCAAATTGGGTGCAGTCATACCAAGAAGAGGAAAGGATATGAAATGGAGACCGATGATTCATTATCTTTGAAAGCCGATAACCGGATGAAGAAGTCAAAGAAAAGCAGCAGTGACAGCCTGTCAGTACCCAATTTACATACTCATTAAAATTGTTGTTATTTGAGTACTCGGAAACAGCCTCTCTACCTTTTGGAATAGAGGCAAGGTCTACGTACACTTCAGACCCTATCACTGTGTCGGAAATACCGCGTTTGGTTTTTTATTCGAGTACTTGTTTGTTATAGCTGTTTAACTGACAACATCAACAACAATCCTGTTTTGTTTGCAGAAGATGACTTACTGAACTCATGTTACGAAACAGCTGTCAATTGGGTCAAACGTTGTCCGAGGAACATACTAAGGGTAGATCACATTTGCTTGCACCCTCTTTAGAAACCCCATTTGCTGCTATAGCACCATTAATGTTAAGTTGATAAATCGGTTTTCGTATTATTGTAGTCAGCCTGAATCTGGTGGATGGACCTATTTGTTTGACGCGTAATGTTGTAATATTTTCAATATTTTCTAGTAACTAAAACTACACAATTTTGATGGAAAAGTAATTTTACGCGAAATTATAGATACGATGACAAGTATATAAGATGATGAAAATTTATTGGATGGTTATTGCTTAGGGATTGTTTGTTTACCTATTAATAGTTCCATTAAGAGGCGAATCTTGTTTGGCAAAAAAAAAATCTGCTCCTTTTAATGGTTTTAAAATTCTCTAAATGATTTTGTATCATGGGTTTTGTTTAACTATTCAGTATCTTAATTTCATTGTAAATAATTATTGAACAATTATATTTTATTTTGCATTATATCATTAGAGTGTTTTTAATCATTTAATTATTCTGTACCAAACCATTTAACAATTGTCAAACAGTGCCTTAATGTTTATCAGTTCTTTTGGGTGTGGTTTTGACTATAACTATGTTAGTATTATATGGTTTATTGAATGTTTTTTTTTTTGTCTTCTCTAAGTAGAAAATTTTCTTTTCACACTTTGATTGCTAAAGAAAAAAATTATTACTATTAACAAACCTAATTTTACCGATAAAAATTAATTTATGGAAACTGATCCGGTAAAGTATCCAATAATTGTAAGGCTGCAATGGGTTGTTGAAAAAATCGTTTGAACAATCTAAAACATAACCCACCTCGACCTAATTAATATGATGGGTTAGATTGATCTGGTTGTGACATAATATGACATTGCAACCATTAGTTAATTAATTGACATTTTAATGCCACAAAGGAAAAAAGTGGAACCAATATCCATAAGAAAGTTGAAGATTTTTGTAGTAAAAAGTAAAATTATTGGCTAACAAATTGTTTGTCATTTATGTAACTCATAAAAATGTTATTGGTTTCATTGAGTGGTTTTAAATTAATTTAATAGATTGTTTGTTCAGGTTCGTTCCTGATATTTTATAGGTCATGGGCGAACGTAAAAACATGGCCCCACTGCAAGAAACAAGGCAACGACTTTTGTCATCGCAAAACGACATGCTATAACTTGTAGCGGAAACATATCATCTTTAAAAAGTGCATCGTCAGAGTTCACTTTTTTTGTAGTGACCCTCGATAAGTACGAAAAATTTGAGTACAAGAAATGTTAATAAGTTAGTAAGGAAAGAAATCTTAATAACAAGAAATATGTGTTATTTTGATACAAAAAGAGAATTCGTGTGAATGCAATAATCATGAGGGTCAATGAGAGATCAATAATAAAGAAGATTATCAAGATTTTCTATACAAGTAGACAAATGAGTATCAATAAAAATATGAAAGAAAAGATGATCCATTGAGATCCAATAAGAATAAATATTGAATTGAACATATAATATGCAAACTCAACGAATGATTATTTGAGCAGTTAAATAGAATCTTGTGGTATGGTGGAATCCCAATGAAAGATACATAAGTCAGACAATTGATGAAAATATCTAAATTCTCTTTTCCTTCTTTTTGTGTTCAACTAAAATAAGATGTTAAGAACTTAAGATTAAAAGTTCATGAAACATGACATATATAAGAGACATTACTAAATACATCTAGTAGAAAAAATTTATTCACTAATCACAAAACCATGAAATACATCATAAATTATAAGAACAATAGATTGATTGTCAAACAATAGTAAAATATTTTATGTAGAAGAAAAATAAATAACAATAGTCAATAAAAACAATTAGAACAAGATAACCAAATAACAATAGTCAATAAAAACAGAAATTGATAAAAAATATCCAACAAAAATATATAGCAATAACAAGCACATGATCTTAATGTTGAATTGTTGAAGCACAAAAACAGTCAAGCATATAAAGATAGCAATAGCCAATATCACTGGAACTTATTGCAGATAATTTTTTTAGAAAGACAATAAATAATAACATATAATGAATGACCAATTAATATTTTTATTTTCTTCTCCAATATAATTAGTTGATATATTTTTGTGCCCTTATTATCTACTAAATTTTTTTTGCGTCTATGCTACAACTTTTTGGTTTTTTTTAGTTTATTAAATTATTTTAGACTACTATTGTATTTTAAGAAAAAAATTTAGGCCCCTTGATATTTTTGTGCCCTGGGCGTGCGCCCGTGTCGCCCTCCCCCAGGGACGGCCCTGTGTTTGTTACAGCTTAATGAGATTCATAGCTCATGTTTGGTAGTCACTTATGTTATAAATTTAGGATTATAGGGTAAATGGTAATTGGAATCTAATTTGTTTTAGGATCATGTAATTTACTTTCCAAATTGATATTTCGACCCTATGTATGAGTATCACAAAATTAAATCTAGGATAATCCTTAAAACCGCTTTTGAATTTAGGTATAACAATGAGAGTCAAGTTACTAGGGAATATTTGAATGTTCAGATTTCAAGGCAGAACCAACATGATATGTATCACGTATATATACATGTTCCATTCAAAAAATGGATAAAATTGACGGTTTTTGGAAGTTAGAATCAGCTACAAACGGTTATAACTGTTAATGGATAAGGTTAAAAAGTAGTTACAACCGACTATTAAGTTATGGAAACTGCCTCTTCAACGATGACCCTTTTCAGCGATAGTTGATGGACTTTTAGCAACGGCTGATAGACCTTTAGCAACAACTGAAGGCTCTCTGTGACAGCCCTATACAACCTTTCAGCGATGGCCTACAAAAGCTGAAACACACAAGATTTAGTGAAATTTTAAAATCTTTTAGAACTTAGATCCGAAAAGTCTCCTAAGAGCGCTGCCCCTTGACCCCGCCATTTTGTCGCATCTGAGATCAAATTTCGTCTTATATATAATTATGCACTATGCACCACCTAACTTATATTAGATCACAATTTAAAGTCCATTGACATTTATGTTAATTCCAATTACACTTAAACAGTCGATAAAACTAAAATCACCAACAACTTAATGATATAGAAAGTGACGTATTTGAGTAAAATTTTAAGGGTGGTTTTTTATATAAAAAACCATTTTTTTTAAACATGCGTTACGGTTAACCGGTTAGGGTTACCGCAGGGATTCGTTCATTCGTATACGGTATTTGTAATTTGTGTATAAAAATCATCTTAGAAACCCCAGCGATCTTCCGGCTACATATTCTCCGACCGATCACCCTATTGTATTCGTAAGTGCACGACGTCCCTCTTTCTCTTCCACACTTACAGACTTCCACTTTTTGCTAAATAAGAACCCCTTTTACACTTGTATGTAATATGTTCATTATTTGGTGCGCAAGTGTGTTACCTTTACTTGTGTAGACGACGCCATTTAAGCAGGTATGAAGCTATAGATTTTGTTCAACTAGCTTTTCATTTGATTACTAGTTCTTTTGATGACAATATGTACTAGTATGGGTTATTTGGTTTTGTTCGTGATTTATTGAATCGAATACTATAAACCTAAATCGAATCTAGCCAGGCCTTCCTCAAGCTAGCATAATTTGTGCCACTTGAAATCACTCGCATTGTCAAAATCAAGTAGATAATATCCTTTTGAAATCCTTGATTGAGGTGTTTGTCTGAAATCACTAAGTAGGTCAAAAGTTGTGTTTTCTGGATCCGTTCTGTTTTTATATGGAAACAGGAAACTGATCTTTGAAACTTGGTATGAAATTGATTTCAAAATTCCATTTTTAACCCACAAGAGATTCCCCTAAAACTTATGTGTAGAAAGGTTTCCCTAAGATAATGATATGACTAACATGCCATCAATTTCACCATCTTTTGTAAACTTACAAATTACAGTATGCATCCTTCTGGACTCCTTTGATTCTACATACGAACCTGCTAGTAGCATCATCAATAGAGTCATCAAGTTCCCTAGCACATCTTCAGTATCTTCGTTGAATAGACTTGTCAAAATAATCCCTCCAACGTTGTCCAATTTCGTCATATTTGATCAGGAGTTGTTGGTTCTTGTTCTTGGTTGTTTTGATGCAATCACCATTATCTTTTTTCCTTTTCTTTGGGGTGTTTACTTTTGACTCAATGGGCTTAATGACTTAATTAGCTTATTTGTGCAGACATTTTAGAGTGTTTACTTATAGCTTAATGAAAAAGTAACCAGCTTATTCGCATAGCTCAAAATGCTCTCTTGTCGGATTCAGCCAACAAGCTACCTCTCCCGCCCCTTCTTATCCCTTAGATTAAAAAACACGCTCATAAAAGATTACCCTATCTCTCTTCTCCGTGCCTCAATCAGTATCCATCTCCAACCCGGCGACCTCTCTTCACGACCAGCCACAGCAACCATCTCAACCATCACTCCACTGATGACCTCTGTTCCCAATTAAATAATCCCTAATAAAGATGAAAGAATTTTGTCCGATTCAAAGATTCCTTCAATGTCTGCATTCATGAAATCATTCGGTAATAATCCCTTCTTCTGCCAACTCTACTCACTTCAATTTCTTCTGCTGAATTCACTCAGCCGATTTGAAGTTGTAAGTAGTATTTGATGAAGCAGAAGATTGAGTAGTATTGGAGTCAAAATTCTGGGTTTTTCCTGCTCCAGGTCAGCTCTGAGTTAACTGATTTTTATGGTATTGCTTTACATTCATTGAATTTGTTGTTTTTGTACGTAATTTGATTCATGTGGTTGGATTACGATCCAGGACGAGTTGATTTGCATTATGTTTGCTGTAGTTGCTTTTATTGAACTAGAAAGCAAGTTGATTTTGTTTTCCCCCTTTTTCCGTTTTCAAATTTTTTTGTTTGTGGATATGAAATGGGAGTTGTGAATTCATAAATATATTTGCGGTTGGTATTAAAAAGATAAACTCCACAGTGTAGGTAGATTTTCTTGATATAATCGAGGGGATATGTGCTTTTTTAGATTCAATGACTTTGCAGCATCAAAAGTTCATGTACTGATAAATTTAAAATAGTTGAAGATCTGGGTTTTAAGCATCATAAAACTATCATTCAACTTGAAAAATGAACAACGTTTTATCAAGTTGAGGGGTAAATCGGTCATTTTTGTCATTCAGACTACTTATTCAGAAAACAAAGTAAACAACAACACATTTTTATCTAGACAGACAAATTTATCCATAAATGACTGAATATAAAAATTGGTAAACAGCCCCTAGCCAGCTTGGATGCATCCTTTTACCTCATTCTGTCTCTCGTTTCTTTAAGGTTCTTCATATGCTTTTGCTCTAGTTCTGCTTACTGCTTTCAAGCTTCCTTAGTGGCTAGTCGTTTCTGTATGTTCTCTACACTCTTAATAACTATATAAGAGTTCATATTGTGAATAGCCTTTTTTACCTCTTCATTCCTGTATCTAGGTGGTGTCTCCTTTCTCTACTTTCTTTGACCAACTCTTTTGCTACCCCTTGAATGCATATAGTTATATCCTTCCACATCTTATCAACACCCTTTACTTCCTGTAACACAGTGCTTAAAATGAATGACTACCACTAAAAGCCTATCTGCCTATGTGACATCTTTACACTCCCCCTGGGTACGGCATTGCTTGTTATGCATGCTAGTTAATTTTGTTTCCTAGAGAGGAAAAGGTTCATGTGACTAGCATTTTGATCATTACAGTTGATTATTGAATTGCATGTCTAAAGAAAATGTTGCAAAATTAATATTTCTTGACCTTGATTCTAACTACCATACAGAAAACCAGTAACGATTTCTTTCAAAACCTTTACTCTGTATTTACATGACAAAGAGATTTGAGATCACTTGCTAGTGAAGGCTTCTTGCTAACCAGTATGCCTCGAACAACCTATAAGTTATCCAAAAACTGTATTTTTATTGATTTGATGATTCTTGAACAGTATTTCCAGAAATGACAGTCATAGCTATCTCCCCAGCAGTCGTTTTGCCAATATGATTCTATCTCCTTGACTCCTCAGGTTCCCTTTAGTATTGCAACACATATTGAATCATCAAGGCCCACTTTGTAACCAAATTTCTAAAATAAAAGTCACATTTAGTGCAAGTTGCTTCAATGTCTTCAGTTTCCCAACACACACAAACATATATCCTAATCATAGAAATTTCTGGTGATATGTGGTACTCTTCAATTTTCCTATGCAATTATATGTCATTGGTTTTGCTAAATTCGTGAAATTGTTCACTTTTGTTCCAATACTGCCCTCATTGGGCTCTACTGCCAGAATGTCTCCATTCCCTCTAGCACCAACGGATGTTGATGTTATGAACTGCCCTGGAATCTGGATATCATGTTTTGTAACAGTTCAAGCTTCATGAATGAACTGTTTAAGGGTGTAAGCCACACTTCATATAGCTGATAATTTACTATCTCCTCTTTCAGGATTTTGTCAACATGTGATTTATTAAGAAGGGCATCATTCTTCCCAGAAACCATATGCTTCTTTCTTTAGCTTTGGCACAAACCAACCTTTCCAATAGAATGCATACTACCGCAATATCTGTAAAAGCAGAAATGGCATCTTCAGAGCATAATGCAAGCTCCGAATCTTCTAAAGCTCATTCTGTATCAGAGATTCGCGTTTTTGTGAGGAAAAAGAGATTGAGAAAGTCTGAATTAGTTACAGAAACTGCTGTAAAATCAGAGCCTGAGGACCATAAGCTAGGTAGCCTGCCTGATATTGAGGAATTTGCATACAGAAAGCCAAGTGATAACTTATATCTGGGAAAATCTAAACCCATCACAAAAGTAGATGAAACTAAGGTGAAAACACCTCCAAACTGGGAAAAAGTTCTTGAAGGAATTCGTAAAATGAGATCTTCAGAAGATGCTCCAGTAGACTCTATGGGATGCGAGAAAGCTGGTAGTTCTCTTCCTCCTAAAGAAAGAAGATTTGCTGTTTTGATATCTTCGCTTCTATCAAGCCAGACTAAAGATAACGTCAACCATGGAGCTATACAACGTCTTCTTGAGAACGACCTTCTGAAAGCAGAAACAATCGAGAAGGCTGATGAATCGATCTTAAAAAACTTGATTTACCCAGTTGGATTTTACACGAGAAAAGCAACCAACATGAAGAAAATAGCGAAAATATGCATGTTGAAATACGATGGAGATATCCCAGAAACACTCGAGGCATTGCTGTCACTTCCAGGAATTGGTCCGAAGATGGCTCATCTGGTGATGAATGTAGCATGGAATAATGTTCAAGGGATATGTGTAGACACTCACGTGCACCGTATTTGTAACCGGCTCGGTTGGGTTTCGCGGGACAGTTCAAAGGAGCGGACCAAGACACCGGAGGAGACACGAGAGTCGTTGCAGTTGTGGCTTCCTAAGGAAGAATGGGTGCCGATAAATCCTCTTTTGGTGGGTTTTGGACAAACTGTATGTACCCCTCTTCGGCCCTCCTGCGATATATGTATCATTAACGACCTCTGCCCATCGGCATTTCGAGAGGCCACACCCAAGAAGACAAAAACGAAAAAGAAGATTAGTAAATCAGACGTTTCTTCTTAGTCGTTTGTTATATAAGCTTTTGTATTAGGGACCTGACCCAGTGATCGTATGGCTCAAAATTTAACCCCACGATGTATGTATGCTTAACCATCTCAGAAATGTATTTTCATGAACTAAAATTATTAGCGAGTTTATTTGGGTGTCCGGTCCCTACTTGCGTGAACCTCGACTAATCCAGCGACAGTAGAGAGTAGTTGATATGTTTGTCAAAAACAGAATGTGTGATTTATAAAGTTGTGATGTGTTGGTTTAATTATTTTGTTTTAATTTGTATTTAAACTAATTAAAACCCTAGAAAATTAAAATATATATATATATATATATATATATATAGATAATTTTATTTAATACTTAATTAATAAAATTAAGATGAGACTATTGATTTAATTTTAAGTATTTCTCAATAAAAGTAAAATGAAAAATTTGTAGCTGAATATCCAAATTATTAAATTTAAAATGAAAACTTAGAAGAAAAGCATACTACATAAGAAAGTCACATATCTATAGCATATTATAAAATATTTAATAAAAATTATTAAAAATTATTTTTTATGCATGAAGTGCTTTTTATTTATGTATATTATTCAAAATTCAAGATTATAAGTAAATTGTGTATATGTGTGACTTATTAAAGCTCTATGTTTGTATTCGTGTAACTAACTGCAGATAAACATAATGGAATAGAGAATAAACATTTAAATATAAAAAATCTAAAATATAATTAAGATAATCATTGAATTCTAACAAAATACTTAATTATTATCTTTATAAAAAATTATATTATTAAATCAAAAATAAAAAATAAAATAAATAAATACAAAAAAGAAGAAGAAATTTTAAATAGTTAGTTTGGTTCTAATATCAATATTTTTTTTCATTTTTTATGATATTTTCACATTTTTTTTATTCAAAACTTAAAAATATTATCGTTTTCTCAAAAATACATAAAACCGTATTATAACATCGACTGAAACAAAAAAGTAAAAATAATATGAAAATATTAAAATCGAGATGTATATTGTACGAGTATCCTTCTAGTATTTTTAAACAACCGTTTTTATAAAGACTAATAACAGATACTAAAATATATTAAGAAATTACTTTAGAAATATATTTTTGACTAAAACGCAAACATATGATTCCTTACAATATATTTTCGTTAAATTTGTAGAAATAGCATCGTATCTTAAAGTTTTATTATTTGTATGTTTTTTTTTCAACTTAAGTATTCAACTTTAAGGAATAAATAACTAAAATTTGGCTATTTAGCAGTTGCTGAATGGTTTGGTACAAAATAATTAAATAGTCAGAATTATTAAGAGACTTTCGTGATATAGTGCAAAATAAAATATAATTGTTTGATATTTTCTTATAATGAAATTAGGGTGCTAAATGGTTAAAGGAGGCTCATGATACAAAATCATTCAAAAGGTTTTAAGACCATTAAAAAACAGACTTTTTTTGTCAAACAAGATTCACCTCTTGAAGATTCAAATGCTGCCTCTTAATAAAATAAAACAAGGAACCAAACCAAATTAGAATTTGGGCCAAGTTCCGTAGTACGATTACGATACGACCCAAGGAAAACGTAACCTTAATATTGGGCTGAGCTCTTCTTTTATGGGCCTCATTGTTTAAGGCCCATTCCACTTTTATGGGCCTTTATCTTCCGTCACTCACTACTGGCTATAAACTGACCTAGGGTTTCATCTGCTGTATTTGGAGCATCCATCATCACCAGAGGCAAGAAGACCAAGCAGCTGCACTTTGACGTTGTAATTTTGCAGGTTCTTTTGATCTCGAACATTCAATTTCATCTAATTTAAGAAATGTATACTTAGGGTTCGCTTTCTGTTTTGTCTTTCTGCGATTTACATATGACTGCTAGATCCACGAATGATTAGGGGGAAAAGGCATAAAATTTTGTTAATTTTCCTAGCTTTCGCGCTGTTTATTGTTCATGAATTGATCACTACAATCCTGTTACGCCCACACTGTACATAGAATCATTAATATAGCATGTGTTAGTGCACTTGCCACTGGTTTTTTTACCATAGTTTACAACTAGAACCATTTGGATTGTGCTGAAGGTATCCTGCTTTAGAATTGATTGAAAAAATTATGTTTTTAGTGTAGCAGAAACAAAAAGATGGCGTATGCAGCAATGAAGCCGACAAAGCCCGGGCTGGAAGAGCCCCAAGAACAGATTCACAAGATTAGAATCACCCTCTCTTCTAAGAATGTCAAGAACCTTGAAAAAGGTATCAGTTCCTCTAACAATCTCTTATTAATCTTATTTGCAATTGGATTTTTGTGTCACCTGTTTCTGTTATGCTTGTTACTTTTAACTACAGAGGTCAACTTGGTCATTGTTACTACATAATGCTATAGTTTTATTTCTAGTGCATTCATGATTTAATGTTCTAATGTAACATCCCTATAACTTTATGGTTTATGCAATTGGTGCATTGTAACTTCATGTTTAATGCAATTAGTTCTCATTGTCACAAATTGAACAATTGGAGAAAAGATTTTGATTCGAGTCTCGTCACAAATTTAGCTTGGAAAAATATGGCAACTCTTCATCAAACTTCGTCTTTGTTAACCGCATTTCTCATTTGCCTTCTTTTAATATAACTTTTGAGGCTGACATTGAAGCAAGCTTAAGTTTGATACTATGGATTTTAATGGTTCAATCATGGTAGCAGGGTGATGTGTTCTAGATTTGGTACCGTATAGGTTTCGCATCTGTGATGTCAATCTTCATTTTGTGATCTTTAATCCTTTGCTGATCGGAGTTTTAATGATCTTTTTTAAACCACAGTTTGTTCGGATTTGGTTCGTGGTGCCAAAGACAAGAAGCTACGAGTCAAAGGACCTGTTAGAATGCCAACCAAGGTTCTTAACATCACAACAAGGAAGTCTCCTTGTGGTGAAGGTAATTTTTATTCCTTTTAGTAGATAACAACAAACTACTCCATTTTCACATTTCAATACAATTTTTCATGAAGGTGCTGAATGATGTCTGCTATACTTTTTAAGTTATGTAGGATGCATGTTTGTTTCTATGCAAATGGACATTTGTATTTAAGTATTTAACCCAGGGATGTGGTTATCATTGTATATATGCCAACCCACTAGGAGTTGAACCTTCTAATTCATTTTATGTTGTGTTTTCTGATTCATCTTATGGTTCCTTGAAGGCTTATTTGGCTTTTATTCCGGTTTGTAGGAACAAACACATGGGATAGATTTGAGCTTCGCGTCCACAAGCGGGTTATTGATCTTTTCAGCTCACCAGATGTTGTGAAGCAAATCACCTCGATCACTATTGAACCTGGTGTCGAGGTTGAAGTCACCATTGCTGATCCATAGATGTGCCAATCTCCTTTTAGGTTTGTCTTGCAATGCCTTTGGTTTGGCATGAAGGTCTTCTGATAGCTTTTTTTTATTTTTATGTATGTCTCTTACAATTACAATTTTGGGGATTTGCGTTTAACGGGAGGAAAAAGTAGACTTCTGTTCGTTATTCTTTGATGTTCAATAACTTGAATGTGTTCTCGATTATCGCTTTCTTTGGTTAGCATTGATGCATTCGAATTCGATACAATGTTGCTTTTGAAAATGATCATGATTGTTAATATATACTATTTCTACTATAAAATGTTTAGGTAAAACTGTTAAAAGTATAAAACCTATCAAGCTTTAATAATAAGTCATCAAGTATTAAATTAAAAAAGTATAACAAACACAAGCAAAAAAAAAATAGAGTAAATTACCATTTTCACCCTGTGATTTTTGTCCTTATAGTTTATAATTTGTTGCTATTACTCTCTCTAGGCTAATTGCTATCTTTATAGTACAATGGACTGAAATAATAATAAATTGTAAATTATAAGGACGAAAATAGCAATACATTATAAACCACAAGAACGAAAAGTATAATTTCTAAACCACAGGAATGAAAATCATAATTTTTAACAAACCACCATGATGAAGGACGTACCAAAGAAGAGGCCTTTCCTAGCAAACGTAAAGAACTGTTGGTTCTAGGTCGGCGTCTACAACGCTATTACTAAAAATGGTAACATGAAAGATATACCTACTATGGATCATGTTAAAAACCTCAAGTATAAGTAATTTTCCTCCCATTTTGATTTGTTACTTTTCTTTATGATTTATTTTCCTTATTGCTAATTGATCTTAAAAAATTGTTGCTTCTTGTCTCATTTTCAAGGCAATATATATATATATATATATATATATATATATATATATA